CTCCCCCCCCCCCCCTCCTTTCCCCAGTTACACAACAAAAGCGTTCACTTCCAAAGTCTGCACGTCTATGACTCGCAACAGAGCTGGGTCAGCGGGGGTGACTGTGCCGTGGGGAGGAGACTCTCCTACAACAGCCAGCATAGTGAGGGCTGCAGGTGCCCGTGTCTAGAAGAGCTCGGGTGGGACAGCTTGCCGCAGCCTTGCTGCTCACGGCGTGATACTGACCAGCAGCACTGGCGTCACCGAGGAGCATGTTAAAAACGCAGGAACATGGGTCTCAGACCTACTGAATCCGAATCCGATTGTTTTTTTGTTTTTATTTTTGGCTGCAACCATATGTTTATTCAAAGCTGAACACGCAAGTGCAAATTTAACATAGGCAAATCTGTCAGTGGCCCAAGGTGGCCATGCTAAGATGTTCTGCTTGGCCAAGAAGCACCTGGGCCCCTCAGACCAGTCCTTGGGTCTGAAGAGCCCCTGGCATGGGGTGTGCTCACTGCAGACTCCTCACCTAGAAGCCAGAATACCTGCTAAATAATAAAGCAAAAATCATGGTGGGTCTGGGGGTGGGGTAGAGCGTGACCAAGGTGGGCTGGGGGGATGGACTCACAGAATCCTGGCCTGTAAGGAAGGGTCCCCTACATCTTGGGAGGTGGTGATGGGTCCCAGGGGACCCCGACTGGTTTAACCATGGCCAGAAACAGTGGGACACAGTGTCACAGCATCCCTGCCACCAGGGCTAGCCGTCAAGCTGTGGGCAGGGCCCAAGCCAGATCACAGCCTGAGATGGGGCCGAGAGACCCATGTGGCTCAGCCTGGCTGGGCCATGGGACTTTCTGGACCGACGAGGCCTGAAGTGGCTGAGACATCATTTTAAGGGAGCCCAAGGGGACTAGGACCTCTGGTACTGCTGGTGGAGGGCAAGGGCAGTTTCCATGGGGAATTTCTAGGGAAGCCTAGTCATTAGAAGCAGCTGAATAAGCAGGGGTGGGGAATGCAGTCATCGCTGTTGTGAGTGGGGAGGCCCCGAGACATCACTGCCACAAGTCACCGGCCGCTGCCCCGTTGTCATTCTCGTGGAACTTGTGCAGGTGATCGGCAAACTTCTTGGCGCAGAAGGTGGTACAGTCCCTCTCCACGCTCTCGCTCCACGCCAGCTTGTAGAGAACCAGGAAGACCAAGCAATGCAGGAACAGTGTGTAGAAGAAGCCGATGGTGCGCGCCATCTTGTTGGAGAGAACCAGCCGCCCCATGCTGAGTGTAGCCTTGTCCCAGGGGCTCAGGCTCTGGTACTTCCGCTGCCGCTCCCGCTTGCTGAAGGAGGAGAAGGGGTCCAGGCGCTCCTCGTACTGGGACGAGTACCGCAGCTCCGTGTCATCGCTGCCACCGCCCCGACCAGAGTAGTTCTGCAGGAACTTGATTTTCTCGAAGAGCTTGATGTTGTCGGCACGCAGGCTGTCCAGCTCGCTCTGCAGGGCTTGGATGGTGTGCTGGGCCATGCGGTGCTCAGCCTCCAGCTCCTGGTTCCGGGTCCGGAAACGCTCCCTCTGGCTGGAGATGATGGACAGCAGTGAGTCTACCTGGCCCTCAGGGAGGGTGCCGCTGGCTGGTGCCGTGGATCCATAGAACAGGGCGGTGGCCTCCTTGATGGGCTCTGGGATCTTCTCCAGGCCGTGCTCGGCTGCACCCTCGGCATCTGGCCGCTGGATGGACTGGACGGTGCTGAGATCCTGCTCCAGGCGGGCAATCAGCTCCCTCTGCTCAGTCACCATGGCCATGGCCTCGGTGACGTGGACCTGCAGCTCTGCACAGCGCCCGCTCAGGTCGCTGTTGGAGATGCGCAGAGAGGCGTTCTCGGACTGCAGCGAGCGGTTCTTCTCCAGCAGCAGCACCTCCAGGGGCTTGGATGCGTCCTGTGTCCCAGCTCCCTCAGACGGTGCAAACTCCATGGACTTCAGAATATTGAGTTCTTTCTTCACCTCTTCATAGTCAGCCTGTCCTTTGAGTTTTTCTTCCAGTTGTTTGAGCGTGCTGTTCTTGGCACTCAGCTGCTGCTCGAGCTGGGAGATCTGGCTGGCGGAGTTCTCCCGCAGCTTGGTGAGGCTAGCCTGCAGTCTCTGCACGTCCTCCACCAGCTGGGCGATTTCCCGCTCTTTGGCGGCCAACGTATATTACAATTAGAGCTAGTCCCAACAGGATGGGGAAGGCAATTAAAAAAAAAGAAAAGAAAAAGCCAAGCAAAGACGCATCTTCCACCAACCTTGATTTTTCACTTCAGCAAATTCCTTGTTGTATTCCTCGAGTGTTTCCCTAAGTTTCTGGTTCTCTGTTTCAATGTCGTGCAGGCGCTGCACTTTGAGCTGGAGCTGCTGGCCGAGATCCAGGGCTGGTACAGGATCTGGAACATCAATCAATCTTTTGTAGACATTCAAGAAGGCTGCCTCAGCGTCTTTGCTTCTTTTACTCAGTGCATCAATCTCCCCTTGGAAGCTCTTCAGCAGTGGCGCTACCTGCTTGCGTAAATCCTCCGGAGTGTTCTTCTTGAACTCTCGGCTCTGCTCGATGAGCCGCTTTCTAGACTGCTCGCTTTCATCTTGCCGGTTTGCCAATACCGTTGCGGTGGCATCGAGTTCCCTCTGCAGCTGCTGTAAATCAAAGCGCTTCCAATATTGAAACATCGATCCCACATTGGCCGCCATCTTGAGACATATTGAGACGGAGTGAGAGGCTGAGAGAGAGGGGGCTGGAGTTGAGGAGCCGCCAGGAGGCAGCAGGCGGGCGGCGCCAAAACCCGGCCTGGAGCCGGGGAGGAGACTCTCCTACAACAGCCAGCATAGTGAGGGCTGCAGGTGCCCGTGTCTAGAAGAGCTCGGGTGGGACAGCTTGCCGCAGCCTTGCTGCTCACGGCGTGATACTGACCAGCAGCACTGGCGTCACCGAGGAGCATGTTAAAAACGCAGGAACATGGGTCTCAGACCTGCTGAATCCGAATCTGTTAACAAAACTCCCCTGGAAGGCACACGCACGTTCAAGTTTGAGAAGCGTTCTGCTACTGGACTTGATGGCTGAAGGAGAGAGGCTGAGGGAGAAGCAGCGAATGTTCTTCAGGATCTCAGCCTCCCCACTTCCAAGATGAAATCCAATTCCTCACCACTCTTTTCTCACCCTTGCCTTCTAAGTCCCTGCAGAGTCTGCAGAGCAGTTTCTAGAATCTTCTGGTGGTGAGAGACAGAATACAGGAAGGCACCCATACACCTGAGCTACATTTTTGTGGTTTTTTTCTTTTCTTTTTGAGTGTGACTAGGAGACTCCAAAACGAGTTAGACTTAACCAGGAACTGGGCTTCAAAACCTCCTTTCCATTATTGAGTACCCACTGGTGTGCCATTTTCTTTCAACACCAGTGTTGTACCTGGGTGCAGGCTCCACCCCCTAAAGGGGGCGTGCAGGAGGCAGCGAATCAATGATTCCCTCTCATCATTGATGTTACTATCTCTCCCTCTCCCTTCTTCTCTGAAATCAATAAAAATACATTACAAAAAAAAAAAAATCCCAACGGGGGCGCTGTACCATCCTCTCAGCCAAGACTCGATTCCCTTTCCGGGGCAGCTGGGCCAGCAGGGGGCAGCAGGGAGCAGCAAAGGCAGCCACCACCCCTCAGAGTGTCTGGGCCTCCCAGCAGCTCAGTCATCTTACCCTGTGCTTACCTGGCCTACAAGGAAACCCAGGTTCTCACATGGAAAGTTCAAGGTCATCCAGGTGTTGGACAAACAGAGGCTTAGAACCCAGGCACCCTGTGGAGAGCCACTGGATGGTGCCCGATTTCATCCAAGATGCACATCTTTTTTTTATATCTTCATATCTCAGAAACCAGGATGCATTTTACAAGAAAGTAATACTGCTGTTTACATGGCAGCGCGTCTTTTTTAGTTTTTCTTCCTTTCTTGCTTAGGGATACAAAAAATAATGCTGTCTCTCACAATACCTTAAATTTGTGGACTACTATAATGATAAAAGCCTCAGTTTATTGAACCCTGTGCGTGGCATGCATTATTTCCTTTAATCATTACAATATCTCCAGGATGGAGGTATTATTACCCTTACTTTACAGGTGAGGAAACTGATCAGAGAGAGATGGGAACTAGACCACATTTGCATACCTCATAAATAATGCAGCTAGTATTTCATGGGACTTACCTTGCCCGTTGCTTTTAACTACTTTGTTACTTCCACAACAAAGATCCTGGGTCTCGGATAATAACAGGTTTGCTTTACAAATGCAAGTGTCTGCAATTAGGTGGCAGCATGGGAAGTCCCCGAGGGCCAGTATCAGTTAACATCAGACTGGAAGGGGTGCAATGGGATGTGGAGTAGAATCCTGGGACTGGAGGGAAGTCTGAGGTCAGGGGTGGGGGTGGGAGAGATTGCGCAGGGGAGGCAGGAGCGGGGCTCAGAAAGGGAGAGAAGAAGGGGGGCACAATATTGGCAGATTCCCCTGGAAAACCCCTCCTCTGACCTGAGGTCTGGCTCAGAGGGTTGGGAACATTTCCCTAAATTCAGCCCAGCCCACCTCCCCCACCCTGAGCATCTCTCCATCTGATCCCTGTTCTTTCTAGGGTAGGAGGAGAACAAGAGGGAAAGCGAGAGAGGAAGAGATCTAAACAAGAACCCACTTCCTCCTTTTCACAGCTAATTATTGGGAAGTTGGGTGCCTTTCTCTTCCTCTTATTATCATTTTCCACCTAAATGTTATTAGAATTCGTTTGTAGGAAGGAAAATGTCCAGTGAGAAGCCTCAGTATCATCTCCTACTTCTGGAAACCCTTGTCATCTATTGTTGCAGATGACACCCCTGGGTGATAAGGAGGAGGAGAAGGAACTAGCAAAGGAGGAAAGAGATCCAGCAAGGCTCAGTGCCCCACTGTTCCCCCCTCCCCCCCCCCGTAGAGCTACCAGCTGGACATAGCCCGGTGTCCACTGTGAGGGCAGCCACTTTCCATGGATTCCATGAGATCCCCCAACGACCTTCACAGGAAAGGCTCAGAGACATTGAGGGACCTGCCTAAGTCCCCCAGCTAGGAAGTGACACAACTAGCATTGAACCTGAATCGGAGTCTTTGCTTGACTTCAAAGCCCAAGCTGACCCACTACACCCGGTACCTGAATTGACAGGCTCTCCAGACACCTGTTCTCTGGTGCAAGAGCTGCTCCCTGCACCCTCCCTCTACTACGACAGTGTTTGAGGCTGGGGCTGGGTACGAAGTCCCTTTTTTAACCTATACCCTTACCCTGCCCTTAGCCCTGAAGGTAGACTCGGGCTCTGCTGCTTCCAGAAAGATTTATGTCTGAGGGTAAAGGCATGTATGTTTAGGAGGCAGATCAATAGTCTACCCAGACCCTGCCCCTAGAAGCTTCCTGGGCGGTAGGAAATAATCCCCTCCCCTGGCCACTCCACCACCAGGGACACAAGTCAGGTAGGGTAATAAATAGTACCAACCTGTAGCTCAGCAACCTCATACTTCCTCTTACACATTTTTCATCCATTCATCTACTTGGTCCTGATACCAATCCTCTGAAGAAGGTCAGACCCTTCTGGTTCTACAGGTAAGGAAACAAGCCCAGAGAGGTTAGGTGGGGCCTGCAGGGTCAGAGGAAGAGCTAGACTCTAGGCTTGTGCCCAGCATTCTGTATCCCAACACTGGGGCACTCTCCAATCAGCCACCTGGCACTCCACGGGGTCCAGGCACGGGAGAGTTCCCTGGATTTTGTATTTTCTTTCCTCCTGACTCAGCACAAGGGGAGGAGATGGAGGACTGAGGGAGAGGTAACTCCAGAGACCTTTGGGGGACGAGGATCAGCAGAGGCCTGATGAAGATGCTGGAGTCCTAGGAAGGATAGGAGAAAACAAACAAACAAACAAACAAACAAACAAAAATAGAAAAGCCAGCTGACTTCAGAATTGTCCCTGGAGCCAGTTTAGACTCAGAGCTAATGGGGGAAGGTGTCTTCTACCTGTTCAGGGCCCTGGAAAGAAAGGTACATTATAGATGTTCCCTAGGAGGCTTGGGAAGAACACCTCCCTCCTCCCCAAGGAAGGAGGTCCTGCCCAGTTGTCATGGTAGTGGCCACATTATGAGGTGGTTCTAGTGACAGGCCGTGGGGTTGGGCTGAGAGGGGACAGAGGTGGGTGGGCAGTGGGGGCAGTGGCAGCCGCATCCCCTGCCTGGGGCATTCTGGCACCGCCACCATCATGGGCAGTGCTTACCACTGGGAGGCCCGGCGCAGACAGGCGGCTTTGGAAAAGAGTAGGGGACTGAGGCAGCAACAGCAAGAGAAGGTGCATGAGAGTGTCAGGTTCATCAGGGTCCTTCCAGGGTTAGGACAGCGATGGGGAGGGAAGACAGACCCCTAGGAAGCTGTCATCATCCTGTGAATGTTGTTTTGCTGGGGATAGGAGGAAAGCAAGGTCCTTCGGTGTTCTCTTGGATAAACGTGTGTGTGTGTGTGTGTGTGTGTGTGTGTGTGTGTGTGTGCATTGACGTAACTCAGCTTTGCTGAGGCCTAGCGGGGAACTGAGGGAACTGGTGCCTGGGAGGTTTTAAAGCTGTGTTGTCCAATAGGATAGCCACCAGTCTGTGTACTATCGAGCCCTTGAAATGTGGCCAGTGAGGCTGAGGAACTGATTTTAAAATTTTATAAACATTGAATTCATTTAAATATCGAATTTTAAACACATACTCAATTTACATATTGGAAAACTTTCTGTTTGAGACAACTTGGATATGTGAGTCTACTTTTTCAACTGGAAATTTGATGAAATCTAAATAGAAGTTAATTCTTTTTGCTAAATGTCCTGTCCCAAATAAGATGTGCTAGTAAGTGTAAAATGCATGCTGGGTTTTAAAGACTTAGTACAAAAACAAAGAATAAAAATCTTAAATAATAAAAGGCTAATATGCAAATCGACCAAACGGTGGAATGACTGGTCGCTATGATGCGCACTGACCACCAGGGGCCACTCAACGCAGAAGCCAGGTTTGTTGGCGAGCGCAGCTGCCGTGGTAGCACTAAGAATATCCGGGGAGCCGGCCTAAGCCTCAGTCGGACATCCCCCTAGGGCTCCCAGACTGCGAGAGGCCGCCTCCCTCCCCCCATTCATGAATCTCGTGCACTGGACCGCTAGTTATGTAATATTATCATATTGATTACATGTTTGGATGTAAATAAAATATATTATTAAAATTAGTTTTACCTGTTTTTTTCCTACTCTTTTTCTTTTTTTCCTTAATCTTCACCTGAGGATATATATATATTTTTAATATATTTTATTGATTTTTTACAGAGAGGAAGGGAGAGGGACAGAGAGTTAGAAACATCGATGAGAGAGAAACATTGATCAGCTGCCTCCTGCACACTCCCCACTGGGGATGTGCCTGCAACCAAGGTACATGCCCTTGACCGGAATTGAACCTGGGACCCTTGAGTCCGCAGGCCAATGCTCTATCCACTGAGCCAAACCGGTCAGGGCCTGAGGATATTTTTTCAATTGCTTTTTCAGGGAGAGTGGAAGAGAGGGAGCTGGGAGGAGAGAGAGGGAGAGAGAAACTGGTTGCCTCCTGCACACGCCCCAACCGCGGGCAGGAAGTGAACCCCCAACCCAGGTATATGCCCTTGACCAAGAATTAAACCCACAACCCTTTGGTGTGCTGATCGACACTGTAACCACTGAACCACACCAGCCAGGGCTCTTCTTACTCTTTTTTAAAAAATATATTTTATTGATTTCAGAGAGGAAGGGAGAGGGAGAGAGATAGAAATATCAATGATGAGAGAGAATCATTGATTGGCTGCCTCCTGCACGCCTCCTATTGGGGATCAAGCCTGCAACCTGGGCATGTGCCCTTGACCAGAATTAAACCTGGCACCCTTAACTTCAGTCCGCAGGCCGATCTATCCACTGAGCCAAACCGGCCAGGGCTCTTCTTACTCTTTATGTGGCTACTAGAAAGTTTAAAATGACACGGGGCACATTTTATATTTCTATTGGACAGCGCTGTTTCAAAGCATTGGCACAAAGCTATTCTTTATCCTCCGGTCCTGCAAACTGTTTTTCAGTGCACAGCTCCCAAGCTAGCAGGTAGGTGCTCAGAGACTGATGTTTCCTGGGAGGGGCTGTGCCAGGGGCCATGTCACCGAGAAGCAGTGCTTGGTGCTGTGGCGGGTGAAGGAAGTTAGCCCATGCTTTAGCCTCAGGCTCCAACTCCAGGGAACAGAGACCCTTGGGGCACCTCTCCCTCTGGATTTGCTGTCTTGCTCCCTGTGGTATCTGGCAGATGGGTGCCCGGGTGGGAGGGAGGAGGCTGTCACTTGCCGGGGGCTTCTTGCCAGGAACTGAAGAAACCCCAAAAGGAGAAATGCCAATCTGAGAAGCAAACCCAGTTATCTCAGGAGTCACATCAGGAGCCAGGGCCATCACAGGTACGATCGCCACCACCTACACAGCCACAGCCGCCCCCGCCAAAGCCAGCGGAGCAGCCAGAGCCACCGCCACCGCCGCCACCGCCACCGCCACCACCACCACAGACACAGCCACAGCCACAGCCACCGCCACCGCCCCCACCTCCACCACCACCACCACCACCACAGACACAGCCACAGCCACCGCCGCCGCCTCCACCACCACCACCACCACAGACACAGCCACAGCCAAAGCCACCGCCACCGCCTCCACCACCACCACCACAGACACAGCCACAGCCTCCATCTCAACCACGGCAACAAAATGCCCAAGACCCTCTTACCCGGCTCAGTTCCAAGCACAAACTCCAGGATTCCCAAAAGCCTGGCCCCCAGCTTGACTCCATGGGGGCCCATCGCTTTAAGGATAAAGTCCAAGGAGGGCAGAAAATCCCTCTAGACCCCGGTAAGTGCGCGGCAGTCTCCCACCCCTGCCCGAGGGTCCAGAACCCACGTTTGTTACCCGCCGTCCCACCATGCGTGATCCGCCCCGGCACCGGGGCTTTTCCTTGGGGACACTCCCTCTGAGTGTGTTTGTGCCAACCTGGCACTGCCAGGGCGGCTTCCAACTTCTGCAGAGGCTGGCCAAGAAGTTGTCAGCCCTTCCTCCAGGGGAGGGGGACAGAGGCGGGTGAGGGTGGTCAGAGGGTGGGATGTGAGTTGCAGGCTTAGCCACAGATAATACGGAGCCCTGTGAGGCCTGGGACAGGGAGTCACCATTCCTAGTTGAGAAATTCCGGGTGGGCTCGGTCTGTGCCCAGCCCCAGGTCGGGGCTGCCACCTGTCCCCGGTCACACAGTGAAGAGTCCGTCTCTGCCATGTTCTAGCCTCAGAAACTGCCAGATGAGTAACATGTGCTTTGATTTATCATCAGGTTTCAGGAAACCAGACCAGCCCTACCTCACTACACATACCTCGAAGACACGCTTCACGGTGAGACAGGACGTGCAAGGCAGGCAGGGTGTCTGAGTGTGCGCTTGTGGGCATGTGAGCGTGGAGTCTGGAGCGCTTTCCTGGCAGGGGTGGGGGAGGGGCTGCAATTATTTCACTTCTAGATGGTCCATTCCCCCGTTCCCCACCCCCTAAAAATGTCTAAATAGTGGCTGTTGTTCAGCACTAAGCATAAGTGGAGGGGTTGACAATCTATTTGGAGAGAGAAGACAGGTGCCAGAGAAGCAAAATAAGGGAGCTGTTTTTTTTTTTAAAATATATTTTATTGATTTTTTACAGAGAGGAAGGGAGAGGGATAGAGAGTTGGAAACATCGATGCGAGAGAAACATCGATCAGCTGCCTCCTGCACACCCCCTACTGGGGATGTGCCCGCAACCAAGGTACATGCCCTTGACCAGAATCGAACCTGGGACCCTTCAGTCCGCAAGCTGACGCTCTATCCACTGAGCCAAACCGGTTAGGGCGGGAGCTGTTTTTTGTTTTTTTTAAATGTATTCTTATTGATTTCAGAGAGGAAAGGAGAGGGAGAGACAGAAACATCAATTATGAGATAATTATTGATTGGCTGCCTCCTGCATGCCCCCCCACTGGGCATGTGCCCAGACCGGGAATCAAACCAGTGACCTCCTGGTTTATAGGTTGGTGCTCAACCACTGAGCAATGCAGGCCAGGCAAGGGGGGCTGTTTAAGCGCTGGCTGGGGTAGAGGCAGCTGGAGCAGGAGGAAGCCAAGACCTGCAGTAATGTTGTTGGTCTCAGGATCACCACGCCCTACTAGTATGACTTATCCTCCAAGCCTTTGTTGCCCCTCCATAAATTAATGATAATACCAGCTCCTGCACAGAGGGTTCATGAGGACTGCATGTGGCAGTGACAAGAGAAGGCACCAGAAGCGCTTAGCTTAGAGACGGGCTCATTCCTAGTCCTTTTAGAATGAGGACTGGGCTGTTACATTTCACTCTGATTCCTTCGGCCTCAAAAGGGCTTAATGCTCTGAAACTAAGAAGCCCAGAAACTGCTAATTTACATGTTTTGTCTTCTGTCCCTCCTTCATTTCAGTCAATGGATTACATACAGCAGTGGTGATCCCCTGACAGACCCCAAGGCCCAACTGGTCATCAGTAAACAACAGATGAGCAAATCTACCTTCTCACCATCCAGCAATGTCTGCACTCCAAAGGCCATGCCCTTCTGGTCCATTCCAGAACAGGAGGCTAGCCCAGAATAAAATGACGTTTCCTGCAGACTTGAAACTGGTCAGCTCTGTGAGACTGAGGGGAAAGAGGCAGGAAGACCCAGGAGGGGGGGAACACCCATGAGGGGATGGAGAGGGTGAGAGAAGAAAGTGGAAAGCAATTGCATGCTTCGCTAGGCAAAGCCAGTGGGAGAACTGGCCTTATACTCCCAAGTCTCCAACTCCAGCCTTTTCTTTAAGAAAAAAAAAAAAGTTTTTGTGTGTGTTTTTTTCAGAGAGAGGAAGAAACATCAGTGAGAATCATTGATAGACTGCTTCCTGTACGCCCCCTACTGGGGATTGAGCAGGCAACCTGGGCATGTGCCCTGACCAGGAATCAAACCGTGACCTCCTGGTTCACAGTTCAACGCTCAACCACTGAGCCACACTGGCCGGGCTGGCCCTTTTCTTTAGCAATGATAGTTCTGTTGGGGCTTCAGGTTTATGACTCTCACAGGAGCCATCACCCCTTCCTCCTAGCTGATGCTTACTGAGATACAGCTGGGGAAGGAGGGACTGCCGCCCACCAAGCAGGCCTGGGGCAGCAGTAGGAAGAGGTGGCAGACAGGGAAGGACCGCCCCAGCCCAGTGTAATTCCTGGCCCACAGTGGGCACCCAGCTGTTGAATGGTTGATGAGAAGCAGGAAGAGAGAGCTCAGAGTGACGGAGAGCTATAGCCTCAGGTACAGGACACCAGGCCCTGGAAGGGGAGGGGGATTAGCCTCTTCCTTCCTGGGTGTCAGCCTATCCAAGGAGCAGAGACAGTCAAGAGGCCCCAAAGGCCCAGGAGTCCCCCTGACCACTTCCTAACGTTGACACCAGGGTCCTCCAGCCCGGCCCGCTTCCCCCTGGGACCAGTGAGGGGGATGCCTGGGTCTTGTTGTGGCCCACACAGCATCGCCTTTGGTCAGACTGATGGAGCCCCTCAGTGCAGTGTTTCTTGAGGGTAGCAGCTTGCGGGGGGCTTAGGGGGAACACAGAATAGGACTAAAGTTGGAAGGGGCCTTAGAGATACACAGTGAGAAAGGGAGCGAGCCATCTCTCAGAGGCCAGAGGCAGGACATGGTGTCAGGGGCTCGGGGCCTGGGGAAGACACCTTGGCACTCCTGGGACATCAACACCAGGCTGAGATGGGGCATGTCCACCAGCTCCCTTCCCGCTCACAGGAGACTTCTTCTTTAAACATTAAGTATAGTTTATTGACTACAATATAAATTCTTTACATTTGGCAACCTACACACAGAAGAAGCTCTAGCCTGGCCTTCCTGGACTCCCCCACTCTTGCCAGCACCACTTTGACCCGTTACCCAGACACGAAAATGTGGAGACAGCACAACCTCCTTCCTCCCTCTTGTTCCCCCAGCCCACCAGTCACCAGTCCCCCTCTCCACCCATCCTCCTTCAGGTTCAGCTTGCCCACCACCCAAGCTCATCTCTCTGCCGCCTGATAAAAACCATAGTCACCTTTAGTGAGCAAACACCATTTCTGCTCACTAAAGAAGGAAACCGCCTCCACGTGGGGCCCAATGGGACCTGGAGGACTTAGCTTCATCTGAGTGACAGCAAAGACCAGTCCCTACTGATGTGCTGTCTCTACCGTCAATGCCCAAAGGAAAGCAGAGGCCTCTGGGAGGGTGGGCGCTGGTGTGGCAGAGCCCAGCAGCTTGGCCTGCCTGTGTCTACTCGCCCAGGCTCAGGGTTATGGGCTCACCACCGGCCAGGAGCTCTCCTTCAATAAATAAACATCTGTTAAAATGACTCTGGCTTTGTCTGTCAAGTTGCTCCTGCTTTGAAGAGAATAATAAACTGTTTCATGGGGAAGAAGCTGGAGCTGTCTTCCTAGAAACCAGGACAGTCTGTAACCAGGAAGGATGCAGAGCCTCGGCCAACCCAGCTGTCAGACGGGCAGGGGACAAGTTCCCAGGAGCAAAGTCGATCATCACCATCACTTTGTCACACAACCCAAACAGGGAGGCACAGGAGAGCATCTGTGTTCTGCAAAAGACCCTGGAGACCGCACTGCATGCCCCCCAAGTCGCTTTCCCATCACTAGGTGGAGAACCTGAAAAGATTCATGTCTTTAACGCTGGATACAACGCTTTCTCACATTCAGGCAGGAGGAAGGCCAGACCTGAGGAGCTGGGCAACTAGAACAGAAAGAGCAGGGGCCACTCCAGGGACTCTAACTCCAAGGAAACATCACGCCAGACTTCCCTCAGGCCAGACCCAGGGGAGGACCTGGTGGCAGCCCCCAGGAGAACCTGGCTTCCGTGCCTGTGGGAATCGGAGCGCTTCCTGTGTGTGGGTGGGGTGGGAGGGTATGATAAAGCAGGGCTTTTCCTTTGGCCAAGTCACCACAGTCCTCCTTGGGCCCCACGGAGTTGTGAGAGATACAGACCAGGCTGGCAGGTGCCTAGAGTTTGGGGACAGCAGACAGGTCACAGCAGGTGAGGGACCGGCAAGTGGGGCCCTGATGTGTTTTCCCGGCAGTCCACGTACTCATAGCTCTGGAAGACTTTCTGCTCTGAGTGGCTCAAGCAGATATAGGTCACGGTGCCCCTGGAGAGGAAGCAGGCTTTGTTGTTATGTCTGGGAGGAAGAGGAAAGCTCTGGCCATGGCCTGCTGTCTGGGGGTGGGGGGTTGGCTCCCTCAGATCCCACCCACCCTTTCTTTTGTTCCCCACTCTGCTAAGGCATCTGAGGTTGCTGCCTCACCTGTGTTCCAGACAGCTCTGTGGCCGTCACACTAGTAGCTTAGGAGCAAGGTGGGACCTAGAGTAGGGGCTGGACCTGCTGCTCTTCCCAAGAACTAACAGATTCATGGGGTCACCTTGGATCACTCTCCTCTCACAAGGTGAGGCTGAGGAGAGACTGGAGTCAGAAGTGGGAGAGGTCCAAGCCCTACTTACTGGATGTGCAAAAGCACATGGTGGACTTTGATTTTCAGCCAGCTACAGATTTTGCTGAGAAAGAGAGAGAGGGAGAGAGAGACACATTGGATCATGTTTCACACTGAGTGGCCATCAGAAGGCTTAAAGGCCTGCAAGCCCCACCCTTGTCACCTTCTAGGCCCCTTTCCCTCAGGGGCCCCAAATGCCACTCCCCCCTCCCACACACACTCCCTCTGACTAAGGAGTATGTCATCCTCCTTGCAACATCACTCCACCAATCCCAACTGGCTTGGCCCAGGCACATGCTGGCCCCTCCCTCAGCAGAAAATGACATTCATCCTCAGCAATTCAGGCTAAAGAGCCCCACGTCACATATTGTAAGGATTAACCAAATCCTAGCCTGTTCCTCATTCCAATCTAGTTCTAAACAGGAAGAGAGGCTGGGGACCCTGAACACTTCCTTGCACATTGCAGCCTCAGCTATGAGTACAGGCCAAAGACTGGCTGCAAGGTTTTTGCTAAGCAATCAGAAAACCTGGTGGGGATTAAAACCAGGTTTCCAAACAGAAAAGAGGCGGAGGGAGAAGAGATCAAGGGATACTCACTATGTGTTTTCATCCAAGATCCTGTTGGCTACTGCATAAAACATCTGTCAACCAAATGGCATAGGGTTAGCCCCAACTCCAGCCGTCACCCCCTTCCCACCACCTCACACATCCACACCGCTGTGGGCAGGGCTGACCAGGGAGAGGGAGACACCTACCTGTTTACTGGCCAAAGGGCCAATGTGGAGGAGGAGGCTATTTGAGACCTGCCCCACCACGACGGACAGGTGCAGCACCTCAATGGTTAGCTGGGTCACAGTGATGGGGTAGTAGTTGCTATTGGAGATGTTCAAGATATTCTGGGGATGAAGACAAGGAAAGGGAGGGGTGAGTGGGGCCATCCTTGGAAAGGAGAAGTCAAACAGTTTCAAAACCCCCAGCCTGACTGAGCCCCACCCCCATATGGACCTCAGCTCCTGAGGACCAGTGCCAGGAGCCCCTCTTGGGGGCTCTTAATGGTGAGGAGTCATTTTAACTAAAACGTTAAGCTGGCTCAGGATCCAGTCCCACCCTGCCCACCCAGGGAGCCTCAGGCATGCCACCCCCATTACACCCTGTGATTTATTTCTTGGGCCCTGATTCTGACCCTTCACTGTGGAGAGTCCCAATCCTACATAATCTGGGGTTCAGGGTGGCCCCTGCTTCTCCCCAGGTTTCTAACACCCTCTGGGTGCCCAGGATCACAACACTGGGCAAGGGCTACAGAGGAGTATTGCTGGGAAGGTGGGGGTCAGAGCCCAGAGGCACAGGCACCCACCTACCGTTATGTTGATGTAGACAGTCTCGTCCAAGGCCACAGTGGAGGAGGAGTTGAGGCCTGCAGGCTGCGTGTCGATGGACCGGGGAAACAGGAAAAAGATGGTGAGGGAGGAGGTCACCAGGCAGATGAGCACTGCCAGGAACACGGAGAGCTCCCTGTGGGAAAGTAGGACCCAGGGGAGAGGAGTGGAGAAGTCTGAACCTCAAGGAAACTGAGGAGCTCCTCTCCACATGCAAGGCTCTCCTCTCATCCTGCGCCCCCCCTCCCCCCCATGTAGCCCCCTGGATGTGGAGGGCCAGCCTACACTCTAATGTGGCACTGAGCAAGTAGGAGCACAGGACTAGGTGGCAGACAGCTTGGCTTCCATTGCTAGGTCTCTGGTCCAGTACCTCTGAGCAACCCTAAGCCTCAGTTTTCTTGCTTGTAAAATGGAGATAACTGTACTTACCTCATAGAATTTTTTTTTAAAAATATATCTTTATTGATTTTAGAGAGGAAGGGAGAGGGATAGAGAGATAGAAACATCAATGATGAGAGAGAATCATTGATCGGCTGCGTACTGCACTCTCCCCACTGGGGATCAAGCCTGCAACCCAGGCATGTGCCCTTGGCCGGAATCGAACCTGGGACCCTTCAGTCCGCAGGCCGACGCTCCATCCACTGAGCCAAACCGGCTAGGGCCCTCATAGAATTTGATATACACTAATGTGTGAAAAAGCACCAATTCCAGGGCCTGGTACATAGCTAAAGCCCCTATTACCACTGGGAAAAGCCAGTCCACATGAATTTTGAGAGTTCTGAATATTCAGAACAGGACATCATCTGTCATTTAATTTAAAATTGAGATGGGCATTAAAGCGATAGCACCTTGTAAGTGTCTCATGAGCGGCACTGTTAGATTCTGGTGCAGTGGTGGGGAGGGTGGGGTGCTGGCTCCCAGACTGAAGCTGAGAACTGTTGGAGGGGACTGCAGGGATCCTGCCAAATAGATCCAGATGATAATCAGGGTCACGACACCCCCAACCCCGGCCTAGAGAAACTCAGGGTTGCCTCTAACGCTCTGAAGTGTCTCCGAACAGGGAGCAGCTGGCTTTCCATCTCTACTGGGAAGAGAACAGGCATGTCTGAGCTGCCACAGCAGGGGAAGCTCTTAGGAAAAATAACTTCCCCAAACCAACTGCAGCCAGGACCACCTCCCTCCCTCCTGGAAGGACTTGCAGAGTCAAGAGGTCCTCTGTTTTCAAAAGGGAGCCATGGCCCAGTCGGTGTGGCTCAGTAATTGAGCGTCAACCCATGAACCAGGAGGTCACGGTTTGATTTCAGTCAGGGCGCGTGCCCAGATTGCGGGCTCGATCCCCAGTGTGGGGCGTGCAGAAGGCAGCCAATCAATGATTCTCATCATCGATGTCTCTGTCCTTCTCTCCCTCTCCCTTCCTCTGAAATAAAAACATTAAAAAAAAAAAGCAGTTGAAGAAAGAACAAAGCAAACACTAGATGAATTTGTCAAAATTTAATGTTAAAAAAAAGGGGGGGGGCATGTGTCTTGGAGGCAGTGATGCTCAGAAGGACACCAAGTGGCTTTAGGTAGCTATGCCCTGGGTTTCTGGAATCAGGAAAATCCTCAGAAACGGGGCTAGTACATATGAGCCCAGTGAGGCTCAGGCGTTTGGGGGGAGAATCAATGGAGAAAAATCTGGGGGGAGGCAGAACGGGGTAGACACAGAGGAACAGCCCCAGGGGCAACCGCCTGTGGAGCTGAGAGGTAGGAAGAGGAGCTTACGTGTGCCTGGGCTTCAGCCTCTGGTCCCCATAGGGGATGAGGGCCACCAGCTGCTTCTCTAGTTCTGTAGAGAGAAAGAAGTGAGAGGGAGGGCCAAGAGGTGTCCATGACGAATGTTTCCTGTGCCAGTCTGCCAGAAGCACCCCTCCACCTCCCAAAGCAATGTCAGCAGCATGCCACCTCGGCCCCTCAGCAGAACTGGGAGCACTGGGCTATGTTCTGAAGTTGGTCATCGCTAGAATGAAAGTGAGATTTTCATAAACAGATGTGAAGAATCTCTGGCATTTCTTCCTCAGAGCCTAGCTTCTTTGGAGAAGCCATTGGTAACTTCCTGAATCCTAGGGCACACTGTAGCTAAGGGAGCAGAGAGGCTGGGAACCCCAGGGGCTGGGGAGCACAACCAGGGCAGGAGGGGTTAGCATCTCCCTGGCCAGCCCTACACTGGGGGACCAAGAACTGGGAGACCCAACCCCATTCAAGGATAGTCTCAGAGGCACCTGGCCATGGGCCAGCTGACCGCCAAGAGCTTTTCCTGGATTGCAGGCTATTTCCAGAGCCTTGAGCCACTCACCTCGAGGGATCTCCTTATTGCCCTGGCAGGTGGGACAAGTCACAAAGCTGGTATTAGCAGCCCTTTCACAAGGGGCACAGGAAGAAAAATACTCGCTGCTACCATGGCTGGCTGAATCACGGGGTAGGATCGACTTGTTTTCGTCCTCCTGAGAGCCCAGCTGGGAGAACGTCTCGCCCATCGTGTAGGGGGCTTTGTCACTAATGAGAAAAGAACAAAGCTCGGTGCTAGCTTGTTCGCACTGATGCTGAATGTCAATTTGGTTTTAAGTTCTCAAGATTGGCCAGGAGTCCCACCACAATTTCAGCAAGTTCAAGCCTAAGCTAGCTAGGGAATGGAAAATGGAGCCTTACACTGCACTCTCAGGTCAGAAATCTCAATGCATTTCCAACTTCTTTCATTATTGTAGGCGCTCAATCTGCCCACAAGAGGGAAAAGAGGAAGTTATTTCACTTAAAGCAGCGGTTCTCAACCTGTGGGTCGCGACCCCTTTGGGGGTCGAACGACCCTTTCACAGGGGTCGCCTAAGACCATCGGAAAACACACATATAATTACATATTGTTTTTGTGATTAATCACTATGCTTTAATTATGTTCAATTTGTAACAATGAAAATACATCCTGCCTATCAGATATTTACGATTCATAACAGTAGCAAAATTACAGTTATGAAGTAGCAACGAAAATAATTTTATGGTTGGGGGTCACCACCACATGAGGAACTGTATTAAAGGGTCGCGGCATTAGGAAGGTTGAGAACCACTGACTTAAAGGGACTTCCATAAGTGAACAGAAGATCACGTATCTTTTCCTGGGAAAAGTTGCTGAGCAGGCATTCACTTCAGGGGAAGTAAGTTGGGTAGGGCAGGGGAGAGCAGTCATAGAGTCCCTTTTTCCTGCAAGGTGACTCTAAACACGATGACTCTCAAGAGGATTCCAGAGCACCTGGGCAGAAATGCCTGCGGTCTCCCAGCCCGGGGGTGGAAGGAAAGCTTCCATGCCTGGGCAGGTGCAGCCTTTAATAAGGCAGGGATTCTTTGCAATAAGAGAAAGGGGGCTAGACTGGTCACAGGTGAGGCTCAGACCCCTAACATAACCTGGAAGGGAGCATGAACGTCTTCCTCACTGCCTTCTGAGGTCTTTTCAGAGAGGGTGCCCGGGGCGGGTAGTAGCAACGTCAGCATCTGCCCTTCACTAGGAAGGGCCAAGGCTAACTCCAGGTTCTTGCCCCCAAACTCGAGTGGTGGCAGAACGAGCGGGCAAGGTGAGCCGCACGGACCTTCCTGGGCCAAATAACGGGGGCCTCTCCTGGTTCAAACCGCAGATCCGGGCTTCTCTCAGCTGCAAGAAGAGATTTGAGATTGCGTCCGTGGGAAGAGGGCCTGCAGGGCAGGGTCGTCCCGGAGCCGCGGCTGGGGCCGGCCAGGCAACCGGGCCCCTTCAGCAGAGTCCTGGGGACCCAGTGCACCGCGTTGGAGAAGGTGGGGAGTGGCGGCCTGCCACCCCGAGAGCCAAGCTGCTCCCCGCCCTACTCCGGGGAGGGCCATTGGCCGGGGTGGGAGCAGACGGAGAGGCTGGGATTTCATTGAGAAGGTGTTTCACGTCCCACCGGACACGCGCAGAGGCCGCTAGCCGCGAATGCCTGGCCCTTTCCTCCCAAAGAGAAAGAAGGGTCCCGTGAGCCTTACCCGCGGTTACTCGACAGAAACGGCTGCAAGCGGAATAGAAAGTGCGGGAGCCAGGGACCCGCCCCAGCTTTGACTCGGGGCCTCGGGAAGCCCCGCCCCCGCTCCTTCCGCCCGCTCCGCGCAGGGCCCGCCCCTCTGACCCAGCGGCCAGAGATGCTCGAGTCACTGAGGCCCCGGCGCTGCTTCCACAAGGACAGCCAGTCCAGGTAGGTTTTTCAAATTACCTTTATTTCACCATTTTCTCAGCAGTTATGTACAAGTACAATGGGGCGGACGACCGCACCCCAGGGCCCGACAGTACGACTCAGGATCAAGGCAGTCCCGCCCTACATCCACCCATTGATTACACGCACCCTGCCGCTCAGCCTCTACCCAGAAGCCGGATAAAAACGCTTCCAATAATGAACAGCCTGGCTGGCCTGCAGTCTGAACCCTGGCTTATTAATTAGCATTCGAGTTATACTGTAAATAAACATCATCATCATGTTAAAGTCATTCATTATAGCACCAACCAGGTTAAATACTATTTTACTATCCTTCCCCCTTTCGGGCTGGTGAGATTCCTTTTAAGTCATTTTCGTGACTGTATCTTTTAGTGTTTTTTTTTTGTAACCTCTTTCTTCACCAACTGTCCCCAAGACCTGTGAGAATAAACAAGCCACCTTTTCTGTCAGAGGACAGTTTAGACAGCCCCACATTGGGCTGCCTGACTGGCAGGCACCATGTTGGCCACGTGGCTTGCAACTCCCCTGGGGCCGCATCTTGAACCCCAAAAGCCAACCCCTCCCTTTGAGTTAGCTAATTGTGAAAGACTGTGTGCCTGAGCTCCAGTCAAGAGGGGCAGGTCCCGAGGTCAGGGTTATAAAGCCAAGCAGACCACTGCTCGTGGGCGCGTGCTTCCAGACCAGGCGTGCACGCCCTTCTGGTAGAAGTAAAGGTATTTGCCTTGCTGCCTGGCTCCCGAGTATGTTTTGGGTTCTACCAGGACCCACAATGTGGGGGCTCGCCTTATTTCTCACAGACGCTCATCTGTAAACAAAGGGATGGCCTGCACCTACGGAAGCAAGCTCTTCTCCACTCATCCTGGGCCAAAAACGTTCAGTGTTTGCCCCCATCCAAGTTTTGCAAAACACCAGCCTCTCTTTTCTGTTCTAAATTCTAGGGCTCGGTACCCTTGAATAGACTTCAAACCTCCAGGAAGTCATCAGGATTTCCTATGCCTCACACATACTCATTTGCCCACCCTTGAACTTTGCCAAGATTAACACAGGAGCCTGCTTTTCACTTTTCCTATTTCTATCCCCCCAACCAACTACTGTAAATAAAATCTGCCCTGACATAGAAAAAAGGTAACTGTTAAATTTTCTTTCCCTTTAATAGAAGAGTTTTTTTCCTTCCTCTATAGCAGGGGTGGGGAATGTCCGGCCCTCGGGCCATATAAGGCCTGGGAAATCATTTGGTCTGGCCCTGCCAAGGCATTAGGGGTGAGTTGATTAAATGTTTGACCAAGTATAGCAGGCTAATTTTTAAGTTGATAATTTTGTATGACTCGAGAATGATGTTATAAATATCCAAATGGCCCTTGGCAGAAAAAAGGGTCCCCACCCCTGCTCTATAGGATTAGCAAAATATTTCACACTACCTAATTTTTTCTCCCGTAAATAAAAGAAAAATGTATGTAAAATTACAATAGACACTGCTGAAAAGAGGCTGGTGGTTTAATCAGCACACTCCCCTCTCCTTTCACTGAAGTGTAGAAACCCAGAAGGCAGATATTCTTAAATTCATCAATGGGCTCTTTAAAAAACAACATGCCAATTACTAAGTCTTGCAGGAAATGACTTTCTCTTTGAGAAAGGAAGAGTAACATTCCTATCATGCTCTGGGTATCAGTTTAATACCACATAGCTAAGCCTTGGGATAGAATAGAGAAATTATAAGTAATTCTTGAAAACAACTTTCAGAGTTAATTTCTTTTCGTTCTCTCTCTTTTTTAAAAATATATTTTTATTCATTTCAGAGAGGAAGGGAGAGGGAGAGAAACATCAATGATTAGAATCATTGATTGGCTGCCTCTTGCACGCCCCCTACTGGGGCTCGAGCCCGCAACCTGGGCATGTGCCCTTGACTGGAATCGAAACTGGGACCCTTCAGTCTGTTGGCCGAAAACCAGCTAGGGCTCAGGGTTAATTTCTTTTAAAAACTGACAATTAATAACATATAACCCCATACAAACATCTGCATTAACCAAGAAAAATACTCAACTTCAATACAAGCAAGAGAAAAATGGTATAAGAAGTTCAAGTTATACTCTCCAACGCACTAAAATGGAGAAAGGAGTTTTATCCAAATCAACTGAAAAGCTGTCTTTCTACTATTCATTCAATGTTTAAAGTGAAAATTTACGTCTGGTCTTTGATTTGCTCCAAAAAATAATGTAATACAGGTATTGTCTTGACAATTCAATCATGGGCTCTATACATATTCATCAGATTAAAAAATAAGCAAGGGCTTCTGCCCCACACCCCAATGACAATAAAGATCATCTCTGAGCAGCAGGCAAAGTTATTTAATACATGGTCACTTCTCAATAGCGGTGGCTGTACCAGTCGTTGTTGTTGACCTGAAGAAGTTCTGTCACAACCTGCAGGATGTTGTAATTGTGTTTCTTCAGCAGCCTCAGGTTCAGCTGCCTGTCACAGAATCCCATTTCAAAGAGATGGGCCATCAGGGCTGCTGTCTGATCTTCTGAAACTATTGGCTGTGTAGTCAAGAAAAGCAGAACATTTTCTGTATAATTTACATGTTATCTTGCAAGTCATATTAATCTTTCCAGATTTATTAAAAATATCAGGTAGGTAGATGCAAGGGTATGACACTCCTGTCCACCTGATCCTAATGGGTCATCTGAGAGGGTAATGGGGAAGGCCCCGTGTTGGATTAGGTATGGTTTGTCCTTAGAGCCAGGAGGAGATGCGTCAGAGGGGACTTTCAGGAGAAAGCATTCTTTGGCCAGATGAAGGAAAAGATGCAAACTCTGAAAGCCCTATGACAATAAAGGTACTTGTGAGGATGCGACAAGTATAAGCAAGAGATGAGAGTGTTACTGGAAGTTAGTATGGGAAATTTAGTCAGATGCAAAAGAGCTGCAGAAAAAACTGCCTGGAAAATTATATCCTAGGTCCGTGGTCGGCAAGCCGAAGTTCGAGAGCCACATGCGGCTCTTTGGCCCCTTGAGTGTGGCTCTTCCACAAAATACCACGTGCGGGTGCGCACATACAGTGCGATTGAAACTTTGTGGCCCATGTGCAGAAGTCAGTATTTTGTGGAAGAGCCACGCTCAAGGGGCCAAAGAGTCGCACGTGGCTCGCAAGCCTCGGTTTGCCGACCACTGTCCTAGGTGATATTTTAGGGCAGTGGTTCTCAACCTTGGCTGCACATTAGAATCACCTGGGAATCTTGTTAAAATCCAAATTTCTGGGCCTCATCCTCCGGAAATTCTATTTCGTTGTTAGTAATGTTGTGGACAACACCTCACCCCAAACAAAGAAACAGAATTTCCGGAGGATGAGGCCCAGAAATCAGGATTTTAAAAAGATTCCCAGGTGATTCTAATGTGCAGCCAAGGCTGAGAACCACTATTTTAGGGTTTTCTTTCTTTCTTTTTTTTTTTTAAGAATAGAAGTGATCCAGGTAAGAGGGGGCTAACATTCATTTACTCCCTCTTTGGGCAAAATTCTATGGTGGACACAACCTTCTTAAATCCTCCTAACACTTGGAATACCCTGACCCTTACCATTTATTTACTGTGTTGAGTATCAATTCCCTTATTTATGAAAATGGAGGTATAGAATACATCCTATTTTGCAGCATTGAAAGGATTAAGGTGAGAAAATATGTAGATGTGTTTGTTTTTTTTAAAATATATTTTTATTGATTTTTCACAGAGAGGAAGGGAGAGGGATAGAGAGCCAGAAACATCGATGAGAGAGAAACATCGACCAGCTGCCTCCTGCACATCTCCCACTGGGGATGTGCCCGCAACCCAGGCACACGCCCTTGACCGGAATCGAACCTGGGACCCTCCAGTCCGCAGGCCTACGCTCCATCCACTGAGCCAAACCGGTTTTGGCTGTAGATGTGTTGAGCGAATATTCTGTCGTTTCTCTCTACACCTAATTCCACTGTTCCCTTCATCCCTCTTCTTTCATTTCAGAATTATCCATCCTTTTTTGCCAAGTTAATCCTTCCACGTGTACTTTGTATCTCATTAACTATCACTACCTCAGAAACCCTTTTCTATTATCCTCCTGCCGGAGTCTATTTATTGTCTTCACTAGCGGAGTATAGACAGAGACCCCCAACAGCTAGTAACCTTTAAAGCCCTAACAAAGGTCAGGGCTGTGCACCACCCAGTTAATCTAGAAACCACCCAGTTAATTTAGGTAATGGTAGCTGAAGCATCATCCCCACCTTAGTTCACTTAATTCCTTAGATACTTATGTAAATCCTTGTTGATTAGATATTCTGCCTGTTACTGGAACTTGCCTGCCTAAGGGTCATACTATGACCTAGTCTGTGTGTCATTGAACCCTCCTTACCCTAGGGCTACCCCAGACCAAATAAAAGATTGGAGCGGCCTGAGCATCAGTGGAAGTCCTTCTGGACTTGCCCGCCTGGTCTCCCAATATTTCAAAATTATCTCGTGTCATTTTTCTCTCATTTGTGTGTGGCTCCTCTTTTCAGATCCCGAACCCTAATCCAAGCAGGACGTGGAAGGAAACACACACGACATCCTCCCTCATCTTGACTATTAATCTCCTTTGCTACTAGCTAGCCCATCTTTAAAAATGTTTCCCTCTGACTTAAGTATCCTAGTTTTTACTCTTGTTTTCCCTTGGTAATCCAGCTAGTTTGAAAGTGAGGCATTGCACTGTCAACGTCCTTTCCACCTGTTCACATTTCTCTGCCACATTTGAAGCTGCTGGCCAGGTCTTCCTCAAGCTCTAGCACAGAACTCCCTCATTTGCCTCTGAGTTCTCAGTTTTCTCTTTGAAGGGGCCCTCCTTCTTTCCATGATCTTTAAAGGCTGCTTCTTGCTTTCCTGTCTTCCTGGAAAATCTGATCCAATCACATGGCTCTTGCTACAACCTGTATACAAATGACTATCTCCAGGCCAAATCTCTCCCCTAAGTCAGGTGTACATTCTCAACTGCACTCTGGATAACTTTACCTGGATGTGCCTCAAATTCAGCACTACCTAGACCAGGGGTGGGCAAACTTTTTGACTCGAGGGCCACAATGGGTTCTTAAACTGGACCGGAGGGCCGGAACAAAAGCATGGATGGAGTGTTTGTGTGAACTAATATAAATTCAAAGTAAACATCATTACATAAAAGGGTACAGTCTTTTTTTTTTTTAGTTTTATTCATTTCAAACGGGCCGGACCCAGCCCTCGGGCCGTAGTTTGCCCACGGCTGACCTAGACTGATCCAATTTTCTTCTCTTTTTGCTCAAATATATTCTTCCTGCATATCCTTTTTTTAAAAAAATATATTTTATTGATTTTTACAGAGAGGAAGGGAGAGGGATAGAGAGTTAAAAACATCGATGAGAGAGAAACATCGATCAGCTGCCTCCTGCACGCCCCCTATTGGGGATCAGCCCGCAACCCAGGTACATGCCCTTGACTGGTATCGAATCTGGGACCCTTCTTCGGTCCATGGCCGGCGCTCTATCCACTGAGCCAAACCAGTTACGGCTGCATATCCTCTCTTAATGAATGGTACTATTTATTGCCTAAGTCGGAAACTTTGGGTTTATCCATGACTTCTAGCCATTCAATGATAGTCTCCAAGTTCTGCCATTTCTCTTTATTTCTCTCCTACCCTTCTTTTCCACTTACATATGGATTCTCAAATGGTTTTCCCAGCTCCACTAGCCTCCACACCAGAGTGATCTTACTATGAAGGAATCTGATCATATTATAGACAAATCTGATCAGGTTAATGACTTCCCTGAAGCTCTTCAATGGCTCCTCCCCCTAGTGTTGAAATAAACTTCAAACCACGTAACACAGCATCATGCTTGCATAGCAAAGGTCTTATTTTTCTCAGCCTAAATTCACCTCCCAGACTCATACTTTCAAGTCCTTTTACTGGTTACTGTCTACAATGCCCTTCCTATAGCTGTCTCTCCTGGCAAACACTTATTTTATCCTTTAGAACTTAGTTCAGGCATCACTGACCAGGAAGCCATCCCTGGCTCCACCCAGGAGCCCACCCTAGGCTGAGGTGTTCCATCTGTCAAGAACATCGACGCAGTATCTGACACTCTCCAGTAAATGTCTGTTTACCTCACTTGTTTCCTACTGTCTATGGGCAGCACTGGGGTCTTATTCATCTGGTAGCACCGGCGCTCAGCACTCGGACGAGCTCCCCACACATAGTTCCTCAAAAAACATTAGGTGTTTTTCCTCTCCTCCCTTAAGAAACTTGACCAAAGTCATACAGCTAGAAAGTGGTGGAATTGGGTGTTAACCAAAAGACTAAACCTAAAGCTTGCTTATGCTTCCTACAATGCCATGCTACTCTCCAACCCAGATGACATAGTTTTCATTGACGACTTGGGTTTGGTTCAGAAAAATAAATTATGCACTCACCTGTGCAGTGACTGGTGGTCCAGCAAACAAGGCCTTGTATGCAGAAGCAGCAACTGACAAAGCCCCCTTCACCAGTCCCCCGGCAATGCTGCTCCCATGGTGGTGGTGCCTGTGGAAGAAAGCTAAATTATCTCCCTAAAAAACACAAACCATTATCTTCCTACAAGATAATCTAAGTTCTAATCCTTAAAAGCAAATGAAATTTCCTTGAGAAAAAAAAGAAAAGTTGTAAAAAAAAAGAGTAAGTTTTCCTATCAATTTTATAGCTATACATCTTGGTTTGATGTAGGGCCCAGCTCTACTGTTACACGGTATGGGCACTGCAGAAAACACACCACGCTGATTAGCATGCCAGCTTTCAGTCCCAGCTGAAAATTAATGTGGTCAAGGACATTGTGGGGTACTGGCAGTGACTGCTCTATCACCTCAGAGGAGACACCTCCCAAAGGAAATGTGATTTTTTTCTGGACACTGTTGGGAGGAGCCCACCTTGACAATGCTGAGATGACTAGGAGCAGAGAGGCAGGTGTGTCTAGTTACTAAGATGCACAGTGGGCTTGACCTTCCTGCCTTCTCCTCTGGAACTAAGGGTGAGTTGTATTTGAGGACACTCCTTTCTGGTATGGAATGTGAACACTCTTAAACATCAATTTTAAACCTCTGTTCAGTGTTGCTCACGAGTTCTAGAAATAAGAACAAGGAGGAATGATGGCTCTCCTCTGCTCTGTGGACTGGCATATGCTCCGAGAAGGCTTGTTTAAGCAGAAGCAACACTAGGATATCCACCTGCTTCTGAATGCACAAGGTCCAGTTACCTTGAGTGGTCATAGCTCTTCTGTCTGCTGTTTACAAGTCCTGATGAGCCTCTGGGCTCTAAAAGCAAAAGAGCTATTGGTTAGATGCAGCATCCATACGTGCTTGGTGTTTCCTACCTCAGAGCAAGGATATTATTGAGGCAGGTGGCAATCTGATCACAGTGTGTAAAGCCTTTTTTTCCTCTTTTAGTATTTGGGAAAATTTCCAGGTGGCTTAAGGGCTAAGAAGAAACTGTCCAGAATGCATTGCAAGGTGACTGTTTATTAAATCAGAAGAAGTGATTCTATAACCCTATCACACTGGTTTATTAGTTCTTAAGTACTTTTAGGTTTTGTTTTTTGAGGAAGAGTAGGAAGTGACCTTTGAGGGTCTACTCAGAACTTCAAGGTGCTATTTTCCTTATTTTGAAGATAAGGAAACAGACCTGCAGGTGTTACAAACCTGCCAAACCACGGAAAGGTCACACAGTGAGGAAACGTGGAGCTGGGGCTAGAACCTAGACTGGTTTGGCTCCAAAGCCTGTGTTCTTTCAAGTACAGCACAATGCCGACCTCTATGAGGTCTCATTTAATAAATATTAAGCTGGAGAATAGGAAAGGGAGGCACACAGAAAGAGTGAAAGGGCAAATTTCTAGAAACTGCCAAGAATCACAAAGACCGAGTGCCTATTTATACCTGGTTTCCACTAGAAAAGAACATAGAAAAAGAAATAGAGCTCAGACTGGTCATTACCTCCTCTGATCTGATCAGGGACTGAAGAAACTTCTGGTATGGTAACCGGCAAATCCACTCCTGGGGAGCCATGATGCTGTGCACAAGGAGGGCTCCTTCAGAAAGACACAACATGGAAAGTAAGTTGAAAAGGCACCTGTGGTAACGGTGGGGAAACAGTACACAAAGCACAGCAGTGCCAAATTCTCTACAGAAGCTTCACATTTCTGATCCAGATCACATGTCTGAATTTAGGGATCAGGTGAGAAGGGCTCATTCTCCTTCTGGTTTTCCTCTTCAGCCACAGTCAAGCTAGAAAGACTGGCTTCAGTTTAGTCACTTTCCCCTCTATCAGTGGTCGGCAAACTGTGGCTCGCGAGCCACATGCGGCTCTCTGGCCCCTTGAGTGTGGCCACGAAGTTTCAATCGCACTGTACGTATGCGCCCGCACGTATTTTGTGGAAGAGCCACACTCAAGGGGCCGCAGTTTGCCGACCACTGCCCTATATCAACTGGTGCTGATAAAGGGAAATGTCTAGCTCCCTGGGAGAATGGTTTAAATTATAGTCCAGGCTCTATGTAGATATTTCCCATCCTATGAGACAGCAATGACACAGGTAGAACCCAGTAGAGAATTAAAATAACTTCTCTCTAGTAGTTTCATATTATACTCTTTCCTTAACAGATTAAAGTTCCTAATTATACTTTGTTGAGTTAATATGAGAATTACTTTCTGCTGCCTTTGCCATGAGTCAATAGAACAGGGAGAGAAGGTCCAGGGATGTTTGCACTTAAAAACTGGCTCTCAATGATTAAAACATAAGTAGATGACGATGCTCAGATATTTAAGGTTAACTAAAACAGGTATTTCTTTGAATCCAGGATCCACAAATACTGGGAAGTACAACTTTTATTCATCTAAATTCAGACTTTACTATGGGAAATAGTCTCTTCCCATGCTCATACACACACATACAAAACAGGTTTTGAGATCAAGTTGATTCCTCTCTCTTTATTCCACCTTTGAAGAGCAGCCCAGCTCAGGGGTGTGTGGATGGTACCTGGGCAGCCGTGGTGGAGGGCCCACCACCTCTGGGGTGAGTGGCACTGTATCCAGAGTCTGTGAGGTCATGAGGATGTCATTGATGCTGTACCCCTGCGGCTGGGTCTCCCCTCCAGGGGGTGTTTCCCCAGCCTCGACTGGTTCCTGCCCAGCCTCAATCCCAGGCTCGCCTTCAGCCCCTCGCTCCAGGCCTGGCTGTGAGAGGGCAGAGCTGTACATGGAGTCCCCCAGGGGGCGGCTGGTGTCAAAGCATTCAGGCAGGATGATGATGTAATCCTCTGAAGAAGCAGAGGACTGACTCTGAACTTCGTCTTTGAGTTCATCCTCCTCATCCTCTTCTTCCTCCTCCACAATAGCCTCTTCCTCAGAGATATGGACCATCTCCTCTCTCTCATCTCCAAGTGGTCCTTCCTCAGGTGAGGCAAATTTCACTGAAGGATGAAAACAACCAATTTTTAGGCATAAGCTGAAAGCAGCCCCTGGAGCTACCCTTACCTGGGAAAGCCTTGTGGGTCATGAGCTGCAATTATAAAAGCCAGAGGAGAGGGATGACCCAGGGGAAGGGTTGTTGCTGGAATCATATCATGGCCATGTTCTAAGTCTGAAGCCTAAGCAAAGCTGAATAAAACTGAGGCTCACAAAAACAAGGTAGGCAGAAACATCCTCAGCTCTGTTTCTTCATATATTTTTTTATTGATTTTTTACAAAGAGGAAGGGAGAGGGATAGAGAGTTAGAAACATCGATGAGAGGGAAACATCGATCAGCTGCCTCCTGCACACCTCCATCCCTTTTCCTTTTCATGTAATGTTTAATATACTGAGACGGGTCAAAGCAGAATTGAAATGCCAGTTTGCAGTGCTATAAAAAGAGAAAATGTTAAGTGGTGAGTGTTGTAGGACTATATGCCTACTTTCCTCCTCCTCTTTGCAGAGTAATGAGTAGTCATGGTAGAAAATTGGCAAAACATGGCTGAGAAAAAAAAGAGTACCTATAATCCTAGAGATAACTACTGAAAACTTTTTTTTTTTTAACTTTAGGGAGAGGGAGAGAGAAAAAAAAACATTAATGTGAGAGTAAGACATCAATTGGTTGCCTCTTGCACACCCTTCACGAGGGATCAAGCCTGAAACCCAGGCATATGCCCTGACCGGGAATTGAACTGGCAACCTTTCTATGCATGGAACAATGCCCAACCAACTGAGCCACACTGGCTAAGGCACTATATTGAACATTGTGATGTTAAGTTCTTCCAGATTTTTAAGTTATGCATTTATGCACAAGCGTGTGTGTGCAAGTATTTTAAACAAAAGTAAAACAAATAATACTTAAAGTTATAGGTTAAATTTCATTATGATAAACAAGAGATTTTCCCATATTATTTTGATGTACTAGAATTTGAATTTTTAGATAGTTCTTGAAATACGCAGTACTGAAAACTAAAATCATTTCCCCTAAGAACAGGAACGAGACAGGGATGCCCACTTTCACCACTCTTGTTTGACATAGTACTGGAAGTACTAGCCATAGAGATCAGACAAGAAGAAATAAAAGGCATCCAAATTGGAAAAGATGAAATATGCAGTACTGGTTCTACCTATCAAATATCTAGAAATTTCTGCTATAGAGAAATTTATTATAGCAGAATTTAAACTGGAGAAACTTAGTTCGGTGCTCCTGCTTCTCCCCACTATTTCCTGGACTGCTGCCCTTAGAGAAAAGAGACAATTCAGCTGCCAAATGGGGGTTTCTGCTAGGGAGGTCTGTCAATTTACAGGAAAACTCCTCACTGCAGAATCCAGGCAGCACTAGCTGCTGTTCCTCTGTGGCATGCCTCTGTAATTCTGCCCTGGGAAAGTATAGAAATGAGATATGGTGGCTGCTTTGCTCCTGAAGCTAAATAAAAAGGCCAGGTACAGTATGTAGAGTCTAAAGAAACAAACATGATCCGAATTCTAACAAAGATGACCTTGCCTCCATTCTCAGTGAAGAGCACTTGTACCTATTCAGGTCTGACAATCACAATTCAGACACCACCCTCCTGTGTGGGGGAATTCAGGACACTCACTGTGCAGAGACTTCTGTCTGCAAGGTGGGTTGTGATCTGGGGCAGCATCCAAGGTAAGGGATCGGATTACAGTCTCACACACGAACTGGGTCCCACTCAGGTCATCTTCTGCCTCCTCCACTGAAGTAATATTCTCAGCCCTCCTCTTTACCGATGCTGTGGAATCTGAAAGACATGAACCTTGTCTACACTTGGTGTTTAAAGCAGTGGTTCTCAACCTTCTGGCCCTTTAAATACAGTTCCTCATGTTGTGACCCAACCATAAAATTATTTTCGTTGCTACTTCATAACTGTAATGTTGCTACTGTTATGAATCGTAATGTAAATATCTGATATGCAGGATGGTCTTAGGCGACCCCTGTGAAAGGGTCGTTCGACCGCCAAAGGGATCTTTGACATAGTACTGGAAGTACTAGCCATAGAGATCAGACAAGAAGAAATAAAAGGCATCCAAATTGGAAAAGATGAAATATGCAGTACTGGTTCTACCTATCAAATATCTAGAAATTTCTGCTATAGAGAAATTTATTATAGCAGAATTTAAACTGGAGAAACTTAGTTCGGTGCTCCTGCTTCTCCCCACTATTTCCTGGACTGCTGCCCTTAGAGAAAAGAGACAATTCAGCTGCCAAATGGGGGTTTCTGCTAGGGAGGTCTGTCAATTTACAGGAAAACTCCTCACTGCAGAATCCAGGCAGCACTAGCTGCTGTTCCTCTGTGGCATGCCTCTGTAATTCTGCCCTGGGAAAGTATAGAAATGAGATATGGTGGCTGCTTTGCTCCTGAAGCTAAATAAAAAGGCCAGGTACAGTATGTAGAGTCTAAAGAAACAAACATGATCCGAATTCTAACAAAGATGACCTTGCCTCCATTCTCAGTGAAGAGCACTTGTACCTATTCAGGTCTGACAATCACAATTCAGACACCACCCTCCTGTGTGGGGGAATTCAGGACACTCACTGTGCAGAGACTTCTGTCTGCAAGGTGGGTTGTGATCTGGGGCAGCATCCAAGGTAAGGGATCGGATTACAGTCTCACACACGAACTGGGTCCCACTCAGGTCATCTTCTGCCTCCTCCACTGAAGTAATATTCTCAGCCCTCCTCTTTACCGATGCTGTGGAATCTGAAAGACATGAACCTTGTCTACACTTGGTGTTTAAAGCAGTGGTTCTCAACCTTCTGGCCCTTTAAATACAGTTCCTCATGTTGTGACCCAACCATAAAATTATTTTCGTTGCTACTTCATAACTGTAATGTTGCTACTGTTATGAATCGTAATGTAAATATCTGATATGCAGGATGGTCTTAGGCGACCCTTGTGAAAGGGTTGTTCAACCGCCAAAGGGGTCGCGACCCACAGGTTGAGAACCGCTGGTTTAAAGTGTTAAGAACCTTTCTCCAGTCATGTACCCATGCTTGATACTACACAAAGGAATGGATACTATTCCACGAGGAGACTTAATATGAGATGCTACAGGAAAACCATTTATAAGCTAAGGTAGGACTAGTTGGGAGAAAGGGGTATCTATAAAAACGGTGTGGTATGAAACGGGAGGATGGAAATACTTTACAGATATTTAACCCCTTACCAGAGAGAGCTTTTAGTCCCGCCCCTTCACTCTCTTCCTGTATCTGCCCCAAGCCTGGCTTCTCTATTAAAGGGCTGTCATGTGGCAGAGGAGACATGCAGGGAGTCATATCTGGAGAAGGAAGACAGGAGAACCATCAACCAAGAAAAAGCATCACATCATCAATAGTCAGTGTCCAGAAGCAGCAGCTCATTGGCTTCTTGCTTCCTACAGGGCTAATATAAACTCAGGTATGCTTCAAGACCTGTTGTAAAGATTTCTCCAGACTATTAGGTATGTAAGTGTCTCAGACAGATGAAACACTGCAGGGAGTATCATAAACAGTTGTCTGGTCCACAAGGCAATGTGCAAGACAGAACCATGAATATAAAGGAACAAAGGGACACAAACATCTAGAGAAAAATGGAGATGAGGGTCCCTTTATGGTGGGGAGGCTTTATATAAACGTGTATTGTACAGCGTTCACTTATTACCCACTTTACCTAGCTTCCTTTATGCCTGTTAATAAAATAAGGTGGATTTTATGACAGTCTTACCTACAGGGGTGTTATGGGGCACTCTCTCCAACTCTTGGACAATGTTAATATCCAACAGCTCAAAGGACAGCAGATCCTGGGGAAAAAATAGGCAATGTTAGGCAGTACACACTGGAATAATGTTTTGTCTTCACAGGATTTGCAAGGCCATTGAGCTCCACATCATCCTAGATTAAACTCTGTTCAAATTCATGCCCCACCTCAGCCAAGTGCAAACAAGGAAGAAGAGTTAAATGGATACTAGATATTCAAATAACCAAATGGTGGAAAAGAGAGAAAATGCAGTGGGGGTGAAGGAGAACCAATATGAAGAGGCAACTAAAGGGAAGTTGTGGTAAAGCACAAGACTGAGTTCCCAATTCAAAAAGCAAGCATTTAGTTTAGAAACTCGCTTCTATATATCTTGCCATTCAGTGCATCTGACTGAATCATGGTGGGCATATCTCTAACTTTCTGGGCACCATCTATGGCTCTACCACCTTCTCTTCAACAAGTTAAGAACTCTTTCCCGTGCTTTCTGTCCCTTGCCCCTCAAAGTGCTCAATCTTCCACCTGGGCAGTTAAAAGGTCCACAGATGGGATGTAGAGCTCCCTCTCGCTGGCAACATTTTTTGTCTTCTGTGGGATGTAGGTTCCTGTCCCTTCTGTCTGTTCAGTTGCCCCAAGCTGAATTTCTTCTTTAGCCAGAAGAAAAGTTTCCTACAGAGAAAAACCATTGGGACAAATTTTAGGCCTTTCAACAGAACTCAACAAGGCAAGCTGACGAACACCGCAGCACCTTATAGAAAAGCTGCAAAAATAGTACTGAGTTGACTTATTACCCCCTTTACCTAGCTTCCTATAATGACAACTTAGGTTAACCATAGTATCAACAGTCAAAATCAGGACATTAACACTGGGTAACTAAATTTCAACAGTAAACACTCTAAAAAAGTGCCCATCTAATACAGGGAAATTACCTAAAAAAATTGCACCAAGTAACAACTAGGGCAAGACTTCATTAGTATTTAGGGGACACACACAAGGGACACTCAGGAGAGATGAATGTTATGGAGCAAAGCCATCAGTCCAGCAGTTCCACAGGCCAACCAGGCAGTCCTACTTTCCCCAGTGTAGCAAAGAGGCTGGCAATGCATCATTACGAAGACATACGGAAACACCGAGGAGCACCTGCACCAGATCCTAAGGATACACAAACAAAGCCCCCCGAGTACTAGGCCCAATATAAGCATATCCATGTTTTGGGGGGAAGGGGAGAGCCAACCTTTCCAGATTTCTGAAAGAACAACCAGCTATGAGTGGGCTCTTTTAGCTGGTCACCTCTTCCAGTACTCACCTCTTGCTGGCAGGTGAGATCACCAGTTTTGCTTGAGTTAATCAGGCTCTTTTCAATGTTATCAGAGCTTTCTGTGGAGCAGAGAGGATCTACTATGATACTGCACCAGACCCGAGGTCCAAACTGCTGGCCTTTGTGAGAAAGCCGCCAGTGGGAAGTGTATGTTCCCTCCAAGGCTGGGGCAATGAACTCCACAGACACAATTCCCACATGGCCAGCCTTGAGGCAGGGGACCAAAACATCCCTCTTTTCTGTCGAAGCCATCGTTAGGTTTCCCCACATGAACTTGAGCTGAAATGAACAGTGGCAAGAGAAAGAAAGCAAGCTTGTTAGCTGAGCACTCTGTCACTTCAAATCACTTCATCTTCACATTTTTGTGGGAAAAATACCTTTGTATCTGTACTCCACTTTACATTTCCTGTATTTTTCATCCTCCAGTGTTTGATAAACTTGGTTCCTGGCTGAAGGTGAGTCCCATCAGGCAAATTCTCATCCACAAATGCTGCACTGAGGGTTGGCATAACTGGGGCACAGGGCTGCAAAGGGAGCCTGAACAGAAATTCAGATAGTCACCTGCTGTTGGATGTGATGGCTTCTGAATATCCAACACTGTAGTTTGAGGCTCTGACTCTTGAGGATGCACTAATGCATTTGCCTTATAAGTAATATTAATAACATTTTTTAACAAACAGAAGACAAATCTGACTCCTGAACTAAAAGCTATGATGAGGATCTGTAAATAAAACAACTGAAGAGTCAGACTTAAAATATTTGCTCTTTTGCTTCAAATCCAGACTGCCTCCAGTGAAAAGAGTTCTCACCACCAGTTCTAAACTTTACTGGTTTCTATCTTTCTGAAAAAGGCAACAAAGGAAGTGTCAAAAATAACTACCAAACCATCCTTTTTAAGAATGTTAGGATCACAGAATGGGAAATTTACGAGTTTGGGTGTTAGGAGCTATGAATAAATATGAGAGATGTTGGCTGAAGTTCTAGTTTTAGAGGGCTAGACCTCAAGACTTGGCTCCCACTCTGGCCCTGGGCTTACATTAGGGTGTTAGACTGCAGTAAGCTCTCAGGTCGGCCCAAGGGACACTTGGGGCTCTGGAGTCCATGGATGGAATTCCACAGATGAATCTTCCTGCGGAGTTTAAGCTGCTTTTTAAGTTCCTTGACCTCTGCTTTACGCTGTTTCTTCTCAGCTCGCAACCTTTGCTTTTCTGCTTTAAGAAAATTCTTGTCAACCTGCTTCTGGAGCCTGTGAGACAACAAATGATAGTCTTAAAAACAAACCTCACAAATCTTGAAGCTACTTTGAGCTTCTTGTAGTCTCTATCAGTGCCAGCTTATAGTTTAGTTTCTTTCTTTAAAAATTAAATTTATTGGGATCATACTGGTTAATAAAATTAACCTCTTTCTGCAGTTCTCATTTCCATTTCATTAGCTTTGGATAATTGTCCCCATCATTGCACATCAACTAGAAATGAGCCAGAAATAAGTAGACTATTTGTAGTTTTGTGACTCACTGCCTGTCACCAAGAACCAGGAAGCCAGAGAACACACATCCCATGTATAAATGGTTTACCTGGCTTGTTCCAGAGCAGCAGGAAGACGAGGAGTAGAGAACCTTGAGTGAGAGAACGATTCAGAGGAACCCACAACAGGTCTCCGCAACTTCAGCAGGACATGGTTGGAGTCATGGACATAGGGCCCTGATTCACAATCTTCACAGATATTGTAGGATGGGCATAGGCTATGGGAGAAAAAAAGGCAC